CAAAAGATGCTGCGCCCTTGTTTTTCCTTCATAGTAATTTTTATGTGGTATTGCCCCCTGCTGGAGCATAACATTTATACACATCCTTTCTGGCTGGGCTGAAGTCCTAAGAACCGCCTAGGACCAGCCTTTTATTAATCTTAACTCTTGGTTGTATGCTAAAAGCCTTACAAGTAGCCCCACTGTAAGACAGACGAGTAAGGTTGCTTTACAAATGAGCACATACAAGCAGAACAAGGCCGGCACAATTGAGATGAGGGTCCTCGTCCCCTGGGTGTGTCCATCACTACTTCACCCTGTCGTTCAGATCCAATGTGTGACCAGCCAGCTCCAATAACAGTTCCATTTTCTGGGAATTATTTTTAACACTCAGCAGGATGTTTCCTTCATGTAGATTTAGGCTTAGCCCTTTGTGGATTTTTGGTCTCTTTCCCTTTCAATTTAGCCTCCAAGGAAGCGGTTATGACCAACGGTAGCTGTAATGTTAAATGACGAAGTTCATCGTTACAGCAAATATTGACCCGGAGCTTTATCCTTGTCCCTTCCTTGATAATCTGCAATAAAAAATGTGTTCTTTTAAGTACAATATTAATAAGTAAAGTCTAGGAGATTTTCTCCCCCTTCCTTTCTCTTTTGGAAAAATAAATGTTTTATCTAGTTTTGAGCAGATGATCCTTCTTATCACACCTCTTTCCACTTCTGCCCTCCTTGTTTTATAATTTTCCTCTCCTTTGGGTCCGTGTCATTGCTTCGTGTGGCTTATTTTACAGCCATTCCCTCATTTCTCAAATCAGATTTCCTCCATATGCCGACGGCCTTCCTTTTCCCTGACCATGCAAAAGCAAATTATTGGCTTGTGGTTTTTTTTCGAGACAGAGTCTCACCCTGTCACCCAGGCTGGAGTGCAGTGGCGCAATCTCAGCTCATTGCAACCTCTGCCTGCCAGGTTCAAGCGATTCTTATGCGTCGGCCTCTGGGGTAGCTGAGATTATAGGCGTTTGCCACCACGCCCACCTAATTTTTAGTAGAGACAGGGTTTCACCATGTTGGTCAGGCTGGTCTCAAACTCATAACCTCAGGTGATCCACCTGTCTTGGCCTCCCAAAACCCTGGGATTACAGGCAGAAGCCGCCGTGCCTGGCCTTGTCTTTCATCCTTAATGGCACTTTGGTCCTAATAATGCTAAAACCCTTTTCCTCTTTGAACTGAAACACAGCTTATCTACACGAGCCCAAGGCAGTAGCAACATTCACTCCCATATCTTCTCTGATCTCTACCTTCTGAATCCTGTGGACTTGGTTGTAAATGGATGAAGGCAAGTCTTGCTTCCTTCCCCTGTGTTTACAGAGGATTGTGGCTGAGATGCTGGGCCACACGCTGGGACTGCTGGCAGCCCTGGGCTGCTGGATATTGTCCTTGGGGTGCTCGTCACCTAGACCAGAAGAATCAAGGTGAGGGAGAGCTTGTTCTCTTCTTCCTGTGGCTGCAGAGGCTGTGAGGCATGAGTCTAGTGGCCGTGTTTAGCTGGGGATGCCTCCTAGAAATCAACTCCACAGTTGAAGACATCAAAGCAATCCACAGTGCTACTTGAAACGATTGAGTTTATCAGCACTTTTGCAAATGTGCAAGAGGATAGCTTCTCTGGGCATCCTGCACTGAGCCATGCTCTTCTATTTTATGTAACAGCCCAGTGACCCCTGAGTCTTCCCCTGGGGCAGGTCCTTGAGGCTTCATGGAGGATGTTCTTCAGCGCCAAAGGCGTGCTATTGAGCTCCTGAATCTTTGTGATACTGTTTCTACATCTTTGTGCTGTACCTTTCAAGCTGCGTTCGTGTTATCACCTGTATGATTTTATGTTTTGCTTCTAAATAAGTTTATTTTAAACTCTAACAATGTGTGCTACAAAATTAAAGATAACGTCAATCATTGTCTCTGATGAATTATGTAGATTTCAACACAATCATTGATTCATGTGTACTCTTGGTCAGTCATTAGTCATCTGAGTACCTAGTGGGTTTCTAAAATGGGTTCTGGATGCTGGGGATGTAAAGATAAGCAACACATTTCTATCCTCAAGGAGCCTGTGGACTGGGGAGAATCACTGAAGCCAATGAGGGAAGTTACTGGAGAGAGCAGTGCACACGTGGTCCAGAAATGGGTAGAACAAAGTTGAGAATCACTGAACTGGGAGGAAAGACAGGTCATTGCCAATCCAAGGCTGGCCACAGTGACTCACGCCCTAATCTCAGTACTTTGGGAGGCCAAGGCAGGAAGATCCATCCAGCTCAGGAAATCAAGACCAGCCTGGGCAACCTATGGAGACCCTTCTCCACCAAAATAAAAATAAAAATAAACTAGCCTGGCGTGGTGGAGTGTGCCTGTGGTACCAACTATTCAGGAGGCTGAAGTGGGAGGATCACTTGAGCCAAGGAGGTCAAGACTGCAGTGAGCCATGATCACACCATGGCACTCCTGCCTAGGGAAGAGTGATTTCACTGTTACTTTTCACCTCTCCTCATTTTATGTCTCTGACCCATGCCTGTCCTCTGAGTATCTAGATATTCCTAACTATGGACTTGAAATCTCCACATGGAGCCTCACAGGCACCCCAAACTCAACCTCCCCTAAGCTGAACCCATGATCTTTTCTTCCAAATTTGTTCATCACCAGGGTTCCCGTTTAACTACCCACCTAGTTGTTCAAGTCATCCCCAAGACCTCCCTCTCCTTCCCTGTCTATTCTACCTCCCAAATATCTGTTAAATCCCTCCCTCCTCCCCCACCTCACAGCCACCATCCTAACCCAAGCAGCCACCCTTTCTCACCCTATAGTAACTTCCCAGCTGTTCTCTATAGAGTGGGTGAATCCTGTCATCTTCAGCCTGAACCCCTTTTGACAGATTCCCCCCCCCCCCTTTTTTTTGAGATGGAATCTCCCTCTGTCACCAGGCTGAAGTGCAGTGGCGTGATCTCAGCTCACCACAACCTCCACCTTCCAGGTTCGAGCGATTCTCCTGCCTCAGCCTGCGGTGTAGCTGGGATTACAGGTGGCGACCACCACACACAACTAATTTTGTATTTTTAGTAGAGGCAAGGTTTCCCCATGTTGGCCAGGCTGGTCTCGAACTCCTGACCTCAGGTGATCCACCACCCACCTTGGCCTCCCAAAGTGCTGGGATTGCAGGCGTGAGCCACTGTGCCTGGCCAGATTCCTATCCTGAAGACGAAGCCCCAAACCAACAACACGGCCTGCAAGGCCCTGAGTGACCTGCCTCCAGCCCCAACACCTCGTGTCATCTTGCTGTACTCTCACACAGCTCTTGAGGCTTTAGTCACCCTGGAATTCCAAGTTCCTGTGGCCATTTTTCTTTCTTGCTGAAGGTGTCACCATGTGCCGTCCCCTCTGCCCTTGTCTACACCCTCGCGTCCTTCTCTTGCCCCAACCACACTCGGGGGGCACACTGTCCTTCCCTGGCTAATCTTCCCACACTCAATACCACTGTCTCCAGGAAACTGTACCTGATCCTCACTGTCAGTTGTCATCCTACGGCCCATTCCCACAGCACTTGCCTTAGTGATAATTGCTTGATTCCCACTTGTCATCCCTGCTAAGCCACAAACGCCAGAGGACAGGGGCCCTGTGTTCTCCTTCACCTCTGGATCATCAGCACTAACTGAGTACCTGGCCTACAAGAGATGCTAATGATGCTAAATGAATGAAATGGAATGAATGAATAAATAAGTAGAAAGACTCTCAATAAAGCAAAACCTTTCTTTACCATTTTACGGCCCTCTAGGAGAAAAACACATGATCACTGGAAAATGCAAAATGAGGGGATTTGTTTAGGAAACCATGAATGTCTCCAGTAACCTGGTAGCTTTGGTTTCTTTTGATGAGGTCCACCCCCTTCCATCCATCTTCTGGGCTTAAGAGATCAAGCAACATGTCGTGAAATTAGATACTGGGGCTGGTTGCACAACATTGTGAATGAACTAAAAGCCACTAGATTGTACAACTGAAAATGGTTAAAATAGTGAATTTCGTGTTACATGAATTATAAACCTGGGGGGGAAAGGCTTAAAAAAAGACAAAACTTCCCCCACAATGGAAAGGAAGATATAAGAGAAACAGCAGTGCTCAAACCTTGGCAGCATAATCAAACCCTGCGTCTACTTTTAAAAATTAGCTGAGCATGGTGGCACGTGCCTGTAGTGCCAGTTACTCTGGAGGCTGATGTGGGAACATCTCTCGAGCCTGGAACGTTGAGGCTACAGTGAGCCATGATCATGCCACTGTACTCCAGCCTAGGCAACAGAGCGAGATCCCACCTCAAAAAAACAAAACAAAACAAACTCATCTCTCTCGGCTCCCGAGACTGTAATCCCTCACGGTTCTTTTCTACTTCTCTGGCTTTCTCATCGTCTCCCGTTTTTTCTGGTCTCTCTGTCACCCAGGCTGGAGTGCAGTGGTGTGATCATAGCTCACTGCAACCTTGACCTCCTGGGTTCAAGAGATCCTCCCACCTCGGCCTTTCAAGTAGCTGGGACTACAGGCGCACACCACCATGCCTAGCTAATATTTGTAGATTTTGTAGAGATGGGGTCTTGCCATGCTGTCCAGTCTGGTCTTGAGCTCCTAGCCTCAAGTGATCCACCCACCTCGGCCTCCCAAAGTGCTGGGATTACAGGTGTGAGCCACACTGCACCCAGCCAAAAGCAGTTTTATTTCCTACCCCTGATTGCCTCTTATGCTGCTCCGCTGAGGTCCCAGATGCTTCAGCCGTCGTACATCTCAAATGACAGGCCTCATCTCCTCCCCAGTACCTGCTCTCCCCTTAAATTACTACCTCAGTGAAGAGTGCCCATTCACTCTGGTAAGAAACTGGGAATTAATGTTTACATTGCCCTCCTCTCCCTGACCACATGGCACTGGCCACCCACCTGTGGATCCCTTCTCAGCCCCTTCCACCCCAACCAGTCCACGGCCCCACCTTGTCTCACCTGCACTACGGCCATAATTGTAACTGGTCTCCAGACTCGTAACTGGTCTCCAGACTCGTAACTGGTCTCCAGAGCTAGTGTCCCATGGCGCTGTAGTCCCCATCACGGGTCATCTTTCACACATCTGCTAAGAGTGATCCAAAATCAAAGTGAATTCAAGTTATGACTCCACTTAACTTCCACTTAACTTATACTTTGTGAATTAATTGTCATACGTGTAATTGTTGTATTATGAATGTACCTAATTTGATAACTTTTTTTAAATCCATTTTTAAAAATCATTTCCATTTAAGGTATCTATTTACAGGTCAGAAAATGAGAAAATGATTTAAAAAAAGAAACTATAGGTCAAACAGACTCAGTCGGGACATGATGGCTACGCCTGCAATCCCAGCACTTTGGGAGGTTGACATAGGATGGCAGCTTGAGGCCAGGAGTTCGAGACCAGCCTGGACAACATAGTGAAGACTCATCTCTACAAAAAAATTTTAAATTACCAGGCACAGTGGCATATGCTACTTGGACAGCTGAGGCAGGAGGATCCCTTGAACTCAGGAGTTAGAGGCTTCGGTGAAACATGATTGTGCCACTATACTCCAGCCTGGGTGACAGAGCAAGACCCTGTCCAAAAAAAAAAAAAAAAAAGACTAAATCCAAATTTTAAAGGCTTCCTCGGCTCATCAACTTGCTCACCACAGCCAAATAAAATAACTGTGAAGGAGGTTTCTGTTTTAATCTTTCCAGGAATATACTATTTGTTTATCCTGAAAATATACTTCATGGCTTTACTGAAGCCACAGTGATGAGGCCTCATTGTCACTGTAGTCTAATCACAATTTTAAAACTTCATTTAAAACTCAATTTAAAAACAGTTTAGCCGGGCGCGATGGCCCACACCTGTAATCCCAGCACTTTGGGAGGCCGAGGCGGGTGGATCACGAGGTCAAGAGATCGAGACCATCTTGGTCAACATGGTGAAACTCCGTCTCTACTAAAAATACAAAAAATTAGCTGGGCATGGTGGCACGTGCCTGTAATCCCAGCTACTCAGGAGGCTGAGGCAGGAGAATTGCCTGAACCCAGGAGGCGGAGATTGCGGTGAGCCGAGATCGCGCCATTGCACTCCAGCCTCGGTAACAAGAGCGAAACTCCGTCTCAAAAAAAAAAAAAAAAAAAAAACAGTTTAAAACAAATTCAGTCCAAGTCAAACACACACTCAGTAGCTAGAAGCAAAATTCTGTTCCGGTCCTCGACGGATCTATTTGTACCTCCTTTCATGAAAACAAAAAGAACTTTTTGACACACCTCGCAGCAGGAAAATACATAATGGACATTGTTTTACCTGTTCTTGGCAAAGACAGCTTAGCTCTTAACAAGCAAGGTAACTGTGGAGACGATGGCTTGTTCCTAGTTAACACTTACATATTTAACCAGAAAGGTTTCAAAGGTGGGCAGATTCACTGGAAAGTTTCCCAAAGCTTCACTTGTTCAGCAAATAATGTTAGAGAGCGAGCTCCATGCCCTCGGGCTCTGAGGAATCCAGGAGGTCAAGGCTGAGGTGAGCCGAGATCTCACCACTGCACTCCATCTGGGGCGACAGAGCAAGACCTTGTCTCAAAGAAAAGAAAATGATATTGCAGAAAAAGTACAATATTTTTAATATTTTTTTTCAAGACAAAGTCTTGCTCTGTCGCCCAGGCCATGAAGCAGCGGAACGATCTTGGCTCACTGCAACCTCTGCCTCCTGGATTCAAACAGTTCTCCTGCCTCAGCCTCCTGAAGGGCTGGGATTACAGGCATGTGCCACCATGCCCGTCTAATTTTTGTGTTTTCAGTACAGACTGGGTTTCACCATATTGGTCAGGCTTGTCTCAAACCCTGACCTCGTGATCTGCCCGCCTTGGCCTCCCAAAGTGCTGGGATTACAAGTGTGAGCCACCATGCCGGGCCAAATGTACAATATTTTTAATGACTTGTTCATTCTTTGTGATTGCCCTGGGTGAGAGGGACTATTGATACCCAATAATGTTTCTTTTGTTTATGCATTGTTTCTATAGTGAAAATACCCATTGGCTTTGTATTTAAAAATGTATAGTAAAAATGGTTTTATTAAAAACAGCAAACAACTACAAAAACTCCAAGGCAATGGAAAGCAGCCCTTGGATTTCCTACTTGAATGAAACATGTAATTTATCCAATATTAGAAATGTCTAAAGGCTCACTCAGTTTTCATGGGCAGAACAGGAATTGTATATCCAATTAAACGTACAATTGCAAAACCTGGTGAGGTGGCTTGTGCCTGAAATCCCAGCACTTTGCCGAGGCAGAGGGATCGCTTGAGACCAGGAGTTTGAGACCAGCATGGGTAACATAAGAAGTCCCCATCTCTCAAAAAAAAAAAAAAAATCGTTAGCCAGGCAGGTTGGTACATGCCTGTATTCCCAGCTACTTGGGAGGCTGAGGTGGAAGGATCACCTGAGCCCAGGAGGTTGGGGCTGCAGTGAGACATGATTGATGTATTCCAGCCTGGGTGACACACACAGACACACACACACACACACACACACACACACACACACACACAAAGGTACAATTGCAATTAAATGTCTTTTCATGGGTGGCTCCTGACCAAATTCCCTAAGCAAGCAGTACATGAATGAGCAGAGAGGCCACAGGCTTACCCTCCTCAGTTAAAGGCAGGAGCAAGCATGGGCCAGACAGAACTCAAGATGTGAATTGGGCAGATCCTCAGGTCCGGCGCTGAACTTGGCTTTGATGAAATAAAACATTACATTTCAAGGCTGGCAGAGAGGAATGAGGGTGGAAGAGGAATCTAGGGCCTTTTCAGGAAGCCATGGACCCTCCTGCCCACACTAATGGGTAGGGGAGCCAGGCATTTTGCTAGGCTTGCTACATTTCTTGGCAGGGTGCTCTGCTGCAAAAGCCAAGAATTCTAAGCTAGATTGAACAGCCAGACATGATGTTAAACATTTGGACGTGACGTCCTCCCTCACAGATTAGCTAGAGTGTGGGTCTGCTGTGCTAGAGACTTAAGTGAGTATCTCCCTCGTTGTGAAGCCTACTTATCACAGTGCTGTATTTTAGGATGAGTTAATTATTTTCCTAAGCATACATATGCATTTTATCATCGTGCCAATGTAGGTCAGCCCAAAAGAAGTGATAAATGTGTAAAACACACACTGGATTAGCTCAGGACAAAACTAGTTTACCGAAAGATGACAGATTTCTTAACTAATTTTATGAGCCATGCAGCTTTTTATTCTAGCAGAGACAGGCATTAGGAATCTTATAAAATTAAAATTTTTAATTGTTGTCTGATAGCTCCAAAGGGCTAAGATCTCAAACAAATGTGTGTAGGTTTTGTTTTTGTTGTTGTGTTTAGAGACAGGGTCTTGCTCTGTCACCCATGCTGAAGTGCAGTGGTGCAATCCTAGCTCACTGCAGCCTTGAACTCTGAGGCTCAAGTGATCCTCCTGCCTCAGCCTCCCAAGTAGCTGGGACTACAAGGGCAGGCTATCACCCCTGGGTAAATTTTTTTTTTTTTTTTTGCAGAGACGGGGGTCTCAATATGTTGCATGGGCTTGTATCTTAACTTTAAAGCAGATGGGATGGCACACGGATTTGAAGTATTAGCTGGTTTGGAGCGTCTGTCTTTTAAAGCAACATTTTACTTCACCACAGGGTGGTGGAGCAGGGGCCATCCTAGAAAGAAGAGTGTGAGTTTTATGGGATAGGGTTTGGGGAGGTGGCTGGAGGAGTTCGGGTTCATTTGATCTCTGTGGTACACAGACAGATAACCAAGGAAAACGTCCAAACAGTGAAGTCAAGTGCTCACGGCACTAAAACACAGAGGGACCCTGCTGCCTGATCGTTGACCTTTGTTCTCATTGACTTCAAAGAACTTCTTGATTTCTACCTTAATTTCATTATTTACCCAGGAGTCATTCAGAAACAGGTTGTTCAGTTTGCATGTAGTTGTGCGGTTTTGAGTGAGTTTCTTAATCCTGAGTTCTAACTTGATTGCACTGTGGTCTGAGAGACTGTTTTGATTTCAGTTCTTTTGCAGGAGTGTTTCATTTCCAATTATGTGGTCAATTTTAGAGTACGTGCCACGTGGCACTGAGAAGAATGCATATTCTGTTGTTCCGTATATATCTATTAGGTCCACTTGATTCAGAGCTTAGCTGACGTCCTGAATATCCTTGATAATTTTCTGTCTTGTTGATCTGTCTAATATTGACAGTGGGGTGTTAAAGTCTCCTGCTATTATTGCGTGGGAGTCTAAGTCTCTTTGTAGGTCTCTAAAACTTGTTTAAGAATCTGGGTGCTCCTGTAGTGTGTGCATATATATTTAGGAGAATTAGCTCTTCTTGTTGAATTGTTCCCTTTACCATTACGTAATGCCCTTCTTTGTCTCTTGTGTTTTGTTTTGTTTTGTTTTGTTTTGTTGAGACACAGTCTCGCTCTGTTGCCCAGGCTACAGTGCAGTGGTGCAATCTCAGCTCACTGCAACCTCCACCTCCCGTGTTCAAGCGATTCACCTGCCTCAGTGTCCTGAGTAGGTGGGATTACAGGCACGCGCCAACATGCCCAGCTAATTTTTTTTTTTTGTATTTGTAGTAGAGACAGGGTTTCACCATGTTGGTCAGACTGGTCTCGAACTCCTGACCTCATGATCCGCCTGCCTTGGCCTCCCAAAGTACTGGCATTATAGGTGTGAGCCACTGCGCCCGGCCTTCTTTGTCTTTTTTATCTTTATTGGAATAAAAGTATGTTTTATGTCCCTCCTTCCTAGAGTTTGTCACCAAGGGATGGCAGAAGTTGACAGGAGGAAGACGTTTGGACATTTGGTTTTGGATTATATTAGGTTATGGGGTTCATGGCCTTCACCTCTTTCAAAATATTTAGTTTCTACATGAATCCAGCTTTAAGTGACCGAAGGAAGGCCATACACAGCTTCATTTCTCAAATCTTTGGAATTTTTCCTTGAAGAACTCTCACAGGGAATGGGGCTGTCTTGCTTCATAGTTACTCTTTCATATACATGATCTCAAGAACTGCCTGATCACTGCTAGGGTTAAACTAATACACTAACCGCCTAAAGTGCTGAAAGGTCCAACAGGGGCTTAGAACCTCACTGCAGATCCTACATAAGCAGATGGTTCTGTTTCCAGAAACAGCCCAGCTTCCTGACTATCTATGGCCAGTGCCTTGGAGAGGAGCCAGAGATCACCCCTTAGTGGGTTCTTTGGCTGGACCTGGAAATCAAATTGACACCAGGCAGATTAACAAGAGAATAGTATACAGATTGTATTGGTTTTATATGTACATGGGAATGAAGGGATGAAGACCACCTTTTTCT